AAGAATTTTGTATCGTAATATGATGTCCCGTTGTGGACCATGGCCATGACATCAGAATACCATTTATCATTGTTCACGATGTTTTCCTGGTGTTTTGACACCGGCCACCGGGAATACATCGAAAATGTCTTTCAAAAGCTTACCGCAAAACCACTGGGAACACTTTCAAATTGGTTTTACAATGGTCTTCCTGTGTTCGTGACTGAAAACATTGTAATGACATCATTTATGTCTTTCCCGTGTTTTTCAAAGAGAATTTTTGAAGGCACAGTGTTATCATTTTGCATGTCTATCTAATGTTTGCCTCAAGTTACGAGGCCGAATATACTGAAAAGATTATTTCAGGTCTTTCAATGTTTTCATCATGTTTTCGACCAAAACATCGAACTTTGCCCGCGGTGAGAACGACCTTACAGTCCTTTCGTCGCCTCACCAGCTTCCGCGAGAGAGACGTACGGGTGAGCCACAGAAATATGCACATAGAAGCTCGGACGTATAGCTCAGATCTACAGGTTGGTGTGGGTGACGGGATGTAAAGTTCGCTCGATGAAGGGCATCACATCTCTCCAGAGCTCCGTACTGTCGGTGAAGATGAAAAGCCAATCTTGTCATGAAGTTCAGTATTCCGCTGTTTGCTTAGAAGTTGCCACTCCTGTCGCGTTCTATCGCCTGCCGTAGCTGAGCGGCTTCACTCCCGGACGGCGCTGCGGTAAGAAGTGAACTGCGGTAAGAACCCTCTTACGGTGATAGATAACCTACGGTAATAACCTGGCTTGCGGTAATAACTGGCCTACGGTAATAACTGGCGTATGGTAAGAGGAGCGATACACATGCAAACTGACGCAGTTGCGACCGCCTTGAAATACTCATCAAGTGGTGGAGGAAGATTCACTCATCCCATTTCCCATTTCCCATTTCCCACCTCCTCGCTTCAAGCTATATCTGTCGATGGCGTCCTACACGGGTTTCAGAGGTTCCTCGGGTTACCGACGGGGCCAGCCCAACCGCTTCAACACAAGGGAGCGGGACACGTCGACTCTGCCTCCTGACCGCGACCTCAAGGAGGGCTTGGTCTCTACCCCTCTGCAAACCCTATCGAAGCCACAGGCCGTCAGAATCCCCCAGAGCGGAACCGCTATCCAGCCAGAAAGGCTGAAGTATATCGGCTCCTACAACTGGGTCGAGGAAGCCACGCCTACCATCATTGTCCCCGGTACGTCTCAGAGGCTCGGTTAGACATACACACTCATACTTACCGTTCTCGCAGGCTCACCTCCCGTATGGCGCAACCGCGCACTTCCCTACCACGTACCGTTCGACACCGGCGTCCGCATGGTCGACCAGAACGGCTTCCGGATGGGTAGTGCGTCGTGCCTGCTGCCACTCCTCCGCGCAGTGGACATCGTGGCGGAGGAGAATGCAGACACGTCCCTCGACTGGGCCAGCGTTGACTTCGTCACCGATCGCAACGGCCTGCGCAAGCTCATGCGGTGGCTCGGGCACTCCGGCACGGAGTGGGACGCGCCGCTGAAGGAGTTTCGCATCGACTTACAGCTGGGCGGGGCGAAGACAGTGCTGATGCACCGGTTTGAGAAGCGGACGAGGGAGATCGCGATGCCCCCGAAAGGTGGTTGTGGGATCAACTTTGAGCGCGAGAGCACGAGCCCCGCGCCAGGGTGTGAACGCAGCACTGGTCATCATCGCATTGTGCAGTATGTGAGTTATTATCTATGTACCATCGTCTGTCAAAGGCTGGGAGTAACCTTTGGATGATTTTCTAGGAACTTGACGGGCTGAAAATGGTCGTCCGATTCGAGGTCGACGCGTGCACGGCTCAACCCACCTCATCCCCCATCGGAGCACCTGCTCGGACCACCAGACCTCGCACGAGTAATGACGCTCTACCTAGCATCGACAGCCTCGCGGACGCTCTTGGCGGTCTCAACTTCTCATCGAGGCCGACACCAGCCCACAATGCATCCGGTGTCCCCACGATCACGGTCATCCGCGCCGGCTCCCAAGTCCCACAGAGCGCGGTCGTCGAGCTCGTGACGCGCTCGCAGAACTACGTCGACCAGTTCGACTGGGCGGAGCAGTACCCGCAGCTGCTGCTCTCCTACACACCCCACCTCTTCCTCGGGGTGCACAACCGCGGCACCTTCGACCGCGTGAAGAAGCACGCCCTCGGCAGCGCGGAGCTGCGCCCAGTGGAGACGGGCCCGAAGATCCAGCGCGCGTTCCGGCAGCTCGTCGCCATCCTGCGGACGATCCAGGACCTGGTGAAGGCGCAGGGCCAGCGCGGGCGGCTGACGCTCCTGTGCCAGGACGGGCTCCTGAAGGTGTACAAGCGAACGAGCAACGCAGGCTGCCTGCCCGAGGACGAGTTGGTGCGGTTCGGTATCTAAAGAAGATCTTCATGCCTTCCTCCCCTTGACGCAAACTGCGTGGCCGCCAGCCTGAACATGTACTTAGTATCTCGCACCTTTGCTGTGGTCACAGATTACCCCATTCTCCCCGCCCGATCTCGGTGATCATATGTAACATGTACCCTATCCCTGCGCAGCCGACTCCGACCCGGAACATGCACTTCATTAAAGATGGACTCAGGGGGAGCGAGTACACCCCACCGCTGGGACCGCGGTGTTTCCATTCCAAGTGGTTTTGTCCGGCGGTGCGGAGACTCGTCGGGACGCCCGTACGTGGTCCCCATCGGGCTGCGCGGTTTTCGTGCTCAGCAGCAGTGCCACGGCTGCTGCTTTGTGAGCGGGATCTTCGACGCGCGCGAAGATAGAGCAGATACGGCGAGTAAGCGAGATATGGCGCGGTGGGGGGCGGTGAGGCGAGATACGAGGATGCGTCGACGAACGTGTTTCCGATGTCGCGATCGGGGGCCTGAGCGGGCATGCTAGATAGCAGATGGCGCAGGGGGGAAACATGGCGTACATGGGAACGGGCCGCCGTGGTTCTCAGCGCGCATGGCTTCTGGCATCGTGCAGCGCGTTTGTCGTCATTCCGGGAAGCGTTGTACGAGGGAGCCCGACATACGCAAACGTCTGCGAGCACGCTGCGGGTGCTCACGGAGGTGGCTCCCGCGAGCCCGCAGCAGCACCCCTTTTGCCATGGTCGAGACTAGAAGCTTGCGGCCGTGTCGATGCTTCCACAGGTGGAGTGCTGGGGCGCGCGCAGCGTCATAGCGAGGGCACAGGAACGCGGTTACTGTTGGTAGAGGGAATTTCAAGTACCGGAAAGGGCCTCTCGTCGCGCCGACATACCGAGAGCGTTCACGCACTCGAGCAGGTTGCGACGTGATAGCTGAGAGAGGCGCTTGTTCGTGAGAGACAGGTCGGTACATGCGTAACGTACTTGCGAGCCCGCGAGAACCAGCCCGGCGTCTATCCAGCCTCGCGCGACGCACGCCCTGCCATCCTGTCCGACACCCCCGGGCGAAGCGTCGGTGCGGCGGCGAGAGAGCGGGCCCAAAGTAGCAACACGAGCGCGCTGCAGGAGTGTAGAAGGGCCGAGGACGCGTCCGTGGGAGTGCGCGTCCACGCCGCCCGGAGAAACCTGGCAGCGCGACGCGCGCGGCGGGACGTGCATGAGAAGGCCCGAGGATGCGCCAGCGGGGCACGGAGCGCGCGGGCCTCCTTCGTGCGCGCGTTCGCGCCCGCTCCAGTCCTCCTGCTCCCCGCGCGTTGGAGCGCCGCGAACGAGGGAAGGTCTGAGATGCAGGGATGTGGCGGCGGTGGCGACTGCGCCCGAGCGAGGGGTCTTCGCGGCTTGACAGGCTAGCACTGGTGGCGCGCGGCCAGACTGCGTCGTTGTATCGAGAAGGATTGGACAGCGAGCTGCAAGAGGTGATTGCACGCATGAGACGCTGTGGTCTAGACTCGGGGCACAACAAGGGTCCATGACGGCCAGCGCGCGCGGCGTCCTAGGCCTTGCGTCGGAGGGACTCGCTAGCAGTCGCATGCATATAGGTTGATCGCCGAATCCGGTCGCGAGACAGCACAGCGCGGCCGCGCGGGAGGTCGCAGCCAGTCGGAGACGTCGGAGAAGGCACCCTAATCCTGCCCGCGCACACACGCACGCCGCGCGCGAAGAGACGCCGAGGCCTGGAGTCGGCGAGGATAAGCAGCGGGTACAGATGGTGGTTCACCCCGGGACGTCTCGGACGATGAGTGGATGGCGCAGAGCGCCGCACCAAGAGCACCCGCGCGATGACGAGCGAGGGCGGGACGGTGTACCTTGGTGCGCACCACTTGGGGTAGTCAAAGTGCCTATGCGGGAGCAGCCGCGTCATGGTGACACCAATGTGGGGACAAGAACATGTTTTACCCCTGCGAGGAACATGTTGCGAGGAGGAACGGTGGAGACGGGCAATGGCGCTACCAGTTCCGAGAGCTACACGGGAGAACACGGCCAAGTGAAGCAGCTGTTCTGTCGCATCGAGACCACCCAAAGGCCGCGCTGCGCGAACTTTGAGGTACACGAAGCCGAATCCCGGCTGCGAAGGCGACGGTGTCTTGAGAGCTATCTTCGACGCGCTCGTTATTGCACGCCGCTTCCGGAGGAACCGGCGGAGGTCCAGAAGCTTGGGAACGCCTTCTGTCATTATCGCGGACGCGTTCTTCAAAAGCCAGATGGACAAGTACGCCATAGGAACCAGAGCGAACGAAGGCAGCGGCTGGGCAGGCTTACAGCAACCGCAAAAGCCCAGGCCTGATGAAGGCAGTCGGCTGGAGGAGGGGGTCCACCCGCGCGGACATAGCGCCGCCAAGGTTCAGGAGGGATTAGCGTCGCCCAAAGGAGAAGGTGACGTTATGCATAAACCGGAGAGCTTCGCGCGTGCACGGTACGGGCGTGGAAATCCCGACTTGGACCACTCGTCCCCGTGCGGGCGCAGGAGCGTTGTGCGGAATTCGCGAAGTGCAATCCTATTGACTGCCAGGACCGCAAAGAGCGAACGTGACCACCGCAGATGAGAACGGGACACCGTGAGTAGGCGGTTGCCTGTTCGTCGCCCTGGCGAAGCAGTACAGAGCATGAGCCGCCGAGTCTAATTGCGGCCGCCGTGCAGGCAGGAAGCTGCAGCTTGTTGTCGATCGGAGGCCCGTCGTCGCAGGAATAGCCGCATGAGGCAGGATGCCGAGCCCGGCATCTCCCAGATGTCGCAGCAAGGAGGCCGGTCCCACAGGTGGAGAGATTGAGTCGCGGAGATGGGGTCAACGTGACCGAGCAACGTGAACGCTGGGCAAGGCACGTCAAACTTTTCCTGTCAAGTTCGAGCAAAAGCTCACACGGCGCTCGCGTGAATGCACCTTCGAACGTGTGGTTTGAGCGTGCCAGCGAAGCGTCCGACGCAGGCTCGGTGTAACCGCGATGGGAATGACTTGGGATAAGGTGAGATGGCGATTGATCTGTCGAAGAGGACGTAAGTCCTGTGAATTATTGTAGAGAGATAGAGACATCGTGCGACTACCTGTGAGCTAAGTTGACCGCTTGGTGGGATTTGGTGGTGTAGATGGTAGTGGCAGCAGTGTTGTGTAGGGTTACTTGATGCTGGTACGCGTGGCAATGTCAGAGATCGTTCGGACAAGTCGGAGCAGTTCTCTCCCACAGTCGGGGGCCCGGACTATGTCACGCCGGCTCGCATGCTTTCGCAGTAGGTTAACCTAAGATACCACGAGCGACCGAATACTGTGAATGCTCCGTACGCCACATCTGAAAGATATGTAAACTTACTGATCGTATGATAGGTGTCTCCAAATCGCATGTCGTAGATGCTTCCGCTCTCTGAAGCATAGGCGCCCCCTGAGGTCCAAGAAACCATACGTTTCCTTCGCATCTCCTTGCAGTCAGCTTCCTTCCTTAACGGATGAGGATAGATAAACTCTAGTTCTAGTCCTATCCAGAAATTATTAAGTTTGGACGCTGTCAGGTGTAGCCCGATCAAAAGGGACGGTACCACTCACGCGATCCGCTCGGGCTAGCTCTATGCTAGTAGTGTACGTCGTTGATAAGAACACAGTTCAAGTTATCGTGCTATAGCACATGGGTCGGATGGGGCAGGAACGATGATAGACACACAAAGTGGCAAGTGCGACGCACCTGTTTCAAACGCGTGCTGAAATATGCGAGGCCCCGTCATCCTGAAAAGGAGTAATAAGTCGTGGTGGTTCGGAGAAATATACGTACGCGCGGACCTACTTCAAAAAAATGACGCGCGACCTGTGGTAATAGCCAAACCGTTTGTTCCGATCTCCTGGTTGGGGTTTGGCAGGCTCGTTCATGAGTGACGTCGCAAGATTGTTCAATGGTCTTAAGGTAAAATTGTCCACAGCATAGTCACGACCGGGTCCGGACTGGTAAACCGGTTTATATGCGCTTATGCTTGCTTCGTATGCTCACGTCAACCTCAACCATCGCGGCCAACTGGCAAAAAACATCGACAGAAGTACAAGTAGTCTTCATTTCTCGACAGCTACATCCATCCAGATATAAACCCCGCAAAAAGAGAGAGAAAATCCGGAAGCTTTCACGTTCAGAATGGCGGCAACTCATGGGTTGGAGGGTTTAGCAGATAGCGAGCGCTGCGAACAGGCACACGGGCCTAAGCCTATACGTCCCTGTCCTGTCCGCATTGCCCCCCCAAAGCAGCTGGTCTATGTGCTTTTGCGCAAGAGGCACATCGTCATGATAACAACTAGGACGGTTAAGGAGATTGGTCGCCGCGCTCGGGACAAGTCGCCGAACAGTTTCGGAATCATGCTACGGTCGTGCTGAGAGGCAAATCACTTACCACGCGTACGGTAGTAAGGGACTCGACTTGCAGATTTTGTGACATCCGGCCGGACGCTGTTCATGACATGGCGCCGTCGTAACGGTACCCGCACTGCGCAAGGGGCGTGTAGGATGTGCGGCCGTGCATGGGAACCCCGGCTTTCAGGTATAATTATCGCAGGTGAGAACCGGCCGCGTCGTTCGGGAAGACGGTGGTAGTGTCCCGCCGGCGGTGGTGGGAACCGAGAGCGAAGGAGGCCGGGAAAGGCGACGGCGTGTCGAGCGGTCAGGGTGCGACGCGAGGGACGGTGGGTGCAATCGGAAGATCGCAATTGAGCGCGTTTCATGCCCGTCTGTCGGGGCAAGGCCTATCAAAAGCGCTGGATGGGAGCGTTCCCAGTGCTGACGTCCGGTGAATTGCGCGATTGAAAGGGGCGGTCAGTTGGGCTATTAGACCGAGAAAAAGTCGAACAAGGTTGCTCACTACCCATTGACGTCCTCCAGGTGCACGACCGCATTCATTGGGATGGTATGGTGCTACGGATGTCTGCGACATCCCTGCCCGGCGAGAGGGTATTGTCGGCGGGGCATGCGGCAGAGTATTTCCCTAAAATTGGGGGAAGAACGGGGAAGAAGTGTCCGGAGTAATGTCGGTTTAGGCGTGCATGCGACGAGATGAAGAAATCTGTGCCTGTGTGTTGGGAGCAACTACCGAAGTTGGGTGGAGGAAGCAGAAACCTCGGCTTTATACCATCTTCGAACTCCGCACGCTAGGCGCCCGGCGTCGCGCGTCCTTCGCTCAAAAAGGAAATCCGAGACTGACGCGGCCTCTCGCAAACGCTATATACCGCTCCTCTCACCGTCTCCCATCTCCTCGTTCTCCCTCTCCTCGCCGCCCGACGCGTCCCCGGACATCCCGCATACATCCTCATTCATACCCCGCGACTTTTACCACAATGCCCGACGGCTCATTCTCCCACCCCCAACAGCGCTCCTTCAACCCTTACACGGACAACGGCGGCACTATCCTCGCTATCGCTGGTGCCGACTTTACTGTCATCGCCGGTGACACTCGTCAGAGTGAGGGCTACAGCATCCAGACTCGTTACGCACCCAAAGTCTTCAGACTGTGCGTCGATCATCCTATATTGGCCCCGTCGCGCGTGCTGACTCTCAATGTCTAATCATAGAACCGACCGCGCCGTTCTTGCTGTGAACGGCTTCGCGGCCGATGGAAACATGTTCGTGAAGAAGGTGAAGCAGAGGCTTGAGGTACGTGACTGTATGCGCGCGATGACGCGTCCCCAGCCACTGATCAGCGTTTGCTACAGTGGTACAGGCACGCGCACGCGAAGGACATGCCCCTCCGCGCCATCGCTCGTCTTATTCAGACGATGCTGTATGCGCAGCGCTTCTTCCCCTACTACGTCTACAACATTCTCGGCGGAATCGAAGAAGATGGTGAGTCTAGTTCCTGCCTGTGTTCAGCATCCGTCTTCTACTTTCTTTCGCGGCTACTTCCCACATCCTGATCAAGGAACGGCCATTTGACTATGATTTGTGTGCTGCATTTGCCGGCTATTTTTCTTACCCAGCCATTGTCCTGCAACACTTCGCAGTTTGTATTAAGACTCGTTTTCTTTCCTGACGCGCGCGGAGCTGTCGAAGATTTCCATATTTGCATCATGCTAACTAACATCTCTGCTGTCAGGCTCTGGTGCCGTCTATTCCTTCGACCCCGTAGGGTCATATGAGCGCGAAGCGTGCCGAGCCGCGGGCGCGGCCCAGTCGCTCGTACAGCCGTTCTTGGACAATCAGGTGCGTGTTTTGTGCGCTCCAAGCTATCGACATCGGCTAACCGATCGTTTACCGACTTCTACCCGTTATCGTGCATCTTACAGATATACTTCAAGAACCAGACCGCTGCGGTCGGCCAGTCGCACCCAACGCATCTTCCTCTACCTGACGTGCTCGCCATCGTTATCGACTCATTTACGAGTGCGACGGAGCGCCATATCGAGGTTCGTCTCCTTATCACGTCACCGTGATCGCCTGCTGAGCTGACGCGTCCTCACTCAGGTCGGCGACGGCTTGGAGATCTACGTCGTCGTAGCGAAAGGCCGCAGTCCACAAGGTTTGGACGGCATGCGCGGCGTCCAGGAGCTTAGCGCGAAAGCGGACAGCGACCGCACATTCGTCATCCGGCGAGAACTCAAGAAGGATTAAACGGCTTGCGCCGGCCGGATAGCTGGTAGGGGCGCCTGTGCTACACGGGCTGCCGCTAGCTTCCCGCCTGCCGATGGACCTGAGGACATCTCGATGGACATTCTTTCCTCTCATCACTCCCACCCCCGCACTCACAGTTACTGTGCGGAACACGCATGCTTCCTCGGAACCATCGGGCGTCGGTCGTTATCTTGATAGTCGTCGCTGTCGCTCTGTCGCTCTAGTACGGGCTCCCCCTCCTTCCGCGACGTCGCGCGCGTTTGGAGTAATGTACCAGTATCAGCAGCATTTTTTCCATCTGTTTCTACTAGAAGCAATAATGTATAGGATGTTCTGCATCCGCATTCCAGCGATATATCGCGTGACATCAGAAGTCTCTCCGACGGCGTTGTGGCGCGCAGAAGTTGGGAAGAACCCGCGGAAGCGCCGGAGAACGGCGGTGACGTTCTACCCGATGAGTTCAATATATCAAGAGCAGCACGAAATGGCCTGAAATGGCCCCTCAACATTGTGCATCCATGGCACGACAACATGCTACGCGCATGCGTGCGCAGGCCAGATGACCGCGACGCCGCCGCCCTGATGGTCCAAAGAAGGTCATGCGGCGGGGCGCCTCTTCCGAGGAATACGCAGGTGGCGGCGCGGCTGAACTCCTCCGCCCACTCCAGCTTCGACTTCGCTGCTAGAAGTGCGGGGCGCCGCACGCGGGGAGTGCTCCTCCGACGCTGCTGCACGAACTCACTTGGACAGCGGCAAGATGCAGATGGAGGAGGTTTGTCCGGATCCGGCGCTCCCCAGACATGCGGCGGAGCGGGAAGAGAGCGGCGGACGCACGGAGGTGTATTGTGCGCTGGGTTGCGTGATTTTGTGATGATCACTTCCGAAGGAGCATTGCCGAAGTGTTTGTATGGATTTCGAACCGCAACTCTGTCGAGCAGCAATTCATATGTAGCGAACTTGAACAATATATCGACCGCCACTTCGGATAAATAGCCCACCTGCTTCTATATATCTGCGGCGCCGGCCGGAGGTCGCGGATCCCTTCAGGGGTTGTATACGGAGGCGTCGCCGGATGATAGTCGACGATTTGGGACGTCTGTGATCGCGGGGCGTCGAGGAATTATATGGCGGACGAAGATGGGGAAGGCGGGAAGCGAGGCGGGGTAGGTGTCATCTGTCCCGCATCCGGATAATTGTCCAGGGAGTGCATTGGGCCACCGCAGACGAAGACGCTTGTCCTGTATGTTTCACTTGAAAGGGCCGTTACAACGCGGGCGGTGCGCGATGCATATATTGGGACATTAATCGGATCGTCGCACCGGCCTGTGTAGACGTGAGCACTGTAAAGGGCACCTCAGAGGGTGCTCTGGACTTAGACCGACTGACCTCATGATCAGGTGTACCGCAGCGTCATACACGACGAGGAACGCCTCACCTCGTCTCATAGTCAATTTGCCATGTCCCTGCCAGCATGACGCGGAGGTGATACGGCCCGTGCCGGTGCTTTTATAACAAGCAATACATTGCCCTGATGTGCGCATGTAAGTCGTCGCGTAGGGTGTGAGAAGGTCATGAGACGTACCTCACGCCTTCTCCTGCAATAGATGTAGGGGGCACATCGTCCGCGAGTATTGCCTTCGCGCGATGGTCGGTCGTGCACGCACCGACCCGTCCGATTCCGCGAGTTTGGCTGGACGCAAGGGATGCGCGGGAAAAGCAGAGGAGAGCACGGGGCCTGGAACTGAATGGGTGGGTTTGGTCGAGGAACGGAAAGCGCCACAAGGTCGGTTCGGGTGGATAACCCTGAGGCACGTTGATATGTTGCGCACGATACGACGAAGCGAGGAGGTATTTGTGCCTGCGGGGTGATATGAGCTCGGTAGGTGTAGTCGACGACGCAGAAGCGGGTATATGCGGGGTAGGGGCCCCGGAGGACGAGAAGTTGATGTCGACGGCGGCCGGCGGTAGTTTGCGAGTATGTCAGAGAGATCTTGACATATATCTAGGTTCTCTTCCGCTTCGGCCATGATATGCATCTTCGACACTTCTTTGGATGGAGAGGATGTACCTCGAGTCGGGGAGCCTTCAAAAGCATGTGCTGTCCACTCATGGGAGCTGCGTTCCTAGACCCTAAACTCAATCATGCGTCAGGAACGTCAGCGGTTACAAGCATTACGAAATCATTCACTGTATGTTTACTAAGACTATCAAGCCCCTGCCGAGGCTATTGAGAGGCCTTGATACCCTACGGAGGAGGCCCGAGTTCTTCTTGTCCCGCGATACCTGCATTTGTCCAGCGAAGCCTGTAAGTTCCAGCGTAAGTGGTGGCTGGCCTACAAAGTCACCCCTTAGGTATGTACCGGACCTGTGGAACAAGGCAACTGAAAGAGGTTTCAGGCTTGTCTGTTCCAAGACAAAAGCAGTCTTGCTATACATGGCATATCTATATAGGCTATTAGCAGACGCTCACTCCACCGCGAGTACAGTCCACTCACCAATACAAGTGTACAAATATTATTACACGGCGGATGGCACCGCCCGCCTTCATGATGTCCTTTACGGATCCCGAGGGTAGTGTGCCATCGAATCGGAGCCGGGTGGATATTCCTGGTTGCAGTACCACTCCAAACGCTCTTCCAGATAATCCTTGTCCAACCACCTGAATGAGTGATCATTCCACTTCCGTTCTGAGGGTCGCGGGTCGTAGTGCAGTCCCCGCTGAAGGGTGTCCGTACACTTTAAAATGATCGTCCTGTCAGTAACAGTACATCGCGTCACCGCCCGCTCTACTTACCGTGTCGTACACCTCCCAACGGGCGCTCTCCCAGCCGAGCTCGCCCATACCGTGGTCGTCGATCACCTCCCGCAACGCCTCAAAAAGGTCAAATCGGTACTCTTCGTCCCAGTCGTACGACCACGCGTGGTTGACCGGGTCATCCACACCCGTGTATTGCAGCCCCACTCTCTGTGCATCGGTGTGATCTTTGCGGTACCGAGTAGCGCTTGCGAGCACGGCGCGTAGGTAGTCCATAGCCGGGCTTGAGGGGGGAAGCTGCGCGGGACGAGTGGGGTACGGGAGGGTGTAGACCATCGCGCACCTCATGATGTCTGTATGCTCTGTCGCCCTGGCCGGATGTTCCCTGACGAGGGCTTCGTTACATACCTTCCACAACCACCCGTCCATATGCCTCTTTATGGCGAGCAGGACACGCGATCTGCCGGTGAACATATCGGGCCCCGGTCCAGTAACGGAAGATAGACGACCGACTGATCCGTCGGGTTCTTGGGTGCCTCGAGGGTCCGTTGAGACACGATAGTAACGAGGTTCCCTAAAGCTGTCGGAAGATCCGCCCTTTTCGATATGTACCTCCCATAGATGGCGTAGGCTAAACACAAGGTCAGCGGGAAACAAAGGATTGTAATGGGAGTGTCGCACTCACAACTTCTCGAGACCCTCGGGGCCACCGCGTAGCTCCCAGGCCTTACGCTCGACGTCCCGCTCCTTGTATAGATACGTGAGCCTCTTGCGACCCCTGCGTTCTCTGTCGGCGATAGTCTCCGCGGAGAGAATATTAGAGGCTTACATAGGACGTTCCTCGATAAGTAGATCATCGAAGTGCTTTTTGTGCAGCCGGTACTGCCGTATCGCGTTTGCTATAGGGGTCTGACGAGAAGTAAGACCATGGTGAGATACAATGACCACGGAGGGTGATATGTCCTCACTATTATATGCTCAGATGGCACTCTGGATTGCCACCCGGAAGCGGGCCTCAGATCTGCAGGAACAGTCAGAGACCGGCCGGCAGCCACCGAGGCTGACGCAGAGCCTGTCGATGCGTCTGTCTGCTGCCGCGCCCTCCGCACGGCCGCATTCTGAGCGACGTCGACCTTAACAACCTCCTGTGCCTGCATCTCTTTGGGTAGGCTTGATTTCGTCGTCTTGACGGGAGTCGCGGTCACTTTCCGAGCGGGAAGCATGAGGACGGTCGATGACACCAAACGATGTCAAGCGGACACGACAAGGATTAGAGAGTTCACCCTCATATAGATTTGTGAAAAAAGCGAGGCAAGTAATCACCTTTTCGTGTGTTTCTCGTGAGTCTTTTGATTGGCGTTTCGTCGATGAAAGGGAGGTTGAATAGAAAGAACTCATTAATTCGTGCGTCAGTCCCGCGTCCCGCTTCTGAACAGTACAGAGCAGAGGCTGAATTGAGCTCCTATCGACGACATGCTTCAGGATGGTTCGGGTCCCGAATCCTGAGTTTTGAGCCATTTGCCAAACCCAGTTGTCGGAGTTGGAGTCGTCCAAGTTGGCGAATCAGTGAGTGACTCTCACTAGCCTGGTATATACTTCTGTAAACGGGTTGTAGTAGATGCAAAAAAAGATAAAATGCTGATGCGAGAGGCGATTTAGACGAGTAGATGAGTGTGACTTTGTGGATCGAAGGAGAAAGACAAGAGAAACCCCTTCGGGACCAGTCGGGGGCGTGTAAGTAGGGCTGCACAAATACGAGTAAATACGCTCGGAAGGCCGTATCTACTCAATATATATCAATATCCTGCCCTCAGAGTTGGCTATGTACTTGGATCGTATCGTAGGTGTATTGTATCCAAATTGTATGACTATGTAATGATATCTACTCATGAATTGTCACATCCTCCAAGTATGCAATGTCGTCACCGAGACCGCGTTTCAGCCACTCCTTCGTAACGATAGTCGTCGATGCTGTCTCGGCCAGCATTGAAGAGCGCGCATCCGTAAGGGTATGACGGCACGAAGAAAAAGCCGTTCGATAGCGATGCTGACCCCAGGTATGGCAAGAACGTCTCTCGCAATAACTGAGAGCACCGGGAACTCCTTGGCGTGGTCCTAGTAGTGGAAGTTCGATGAGCATTGAGTTGATTAAAAGTAGGACAATGTTGACAGTACGTACC